ACCCTTTGGTCAGTTGATGATACATGGAGGGGATTGGAACCATGGCAATGAGACGATATACGATGGAATGAATGTAAAACTAAAGTTCTCTCATGTAAAATATCATATAATTCACAATAAAACATGAAAAAAAAAGGAAGGGAAACCCAGTTTGGTAAGTGGAGTTAAGGGTATTCGAAGAATAAGACCTGAAAGAGGAGATCGGGATATGTGTGTCCAATGGGGGATAACGGTCTCTGAGAGGAGTAGATCCGAGTTTCTAGAGCAGCGTTTCCCAACATGTGTATCAATTTACATCAACACACACCATGTGCTGGATACTGTCACACCCACACCCTAAGCCACTGGATACATGCAATCACCCCATTGTACAGGTGAGAAAACTCAAGTCAAGACAGGTAAAGTTGTTGTTGTTAAGTACTGTAAAGTCGGTTCTGACTCATAGCGACCCTACAGAGCTTCCAAGGAGCAGCTGGTGGGTTTGAACGGCTGACTTTGCAGTAAGCATTCCAGTGGTGATCCTAGAGCTCCACATCAGGACTCCAGAAAGGTAAAGTAAGTGGTCCAAATTCAGACAACTGGAAGGGGAAGAGTCTAGACTTCCATCTGTGTGATTTCAAAGCCCATGCCTCAATCAACACATGGCACCCTCTGACCTAGTCTGCCCTGGTGAAGTGCTCTGTGTTCACAAAGTAGTCCACCGGAGGTGCATGTGTTAATGCACTCATTGCTAACCAAATCACTGGATGCTCGAGTCTACCAAGATGCAGCTCGGAAGAAAGGGCTGGCAATCTACTCCCCAAAAAATAAGCTATGGGAAATCTCTACAGAGCATAGCTGCACTCTGACACACATGGGGTCGGTATGAGTTCAAGTCAACTAGACAGTAACTGTTGGTGGGGGAGGGATGCTCAAACACTGAATGAATACAACCAAGTCAAAAAGTTTTTCTGAGTGGGGACGAAGAAGTCATGTGCCAAGCATGTCCGGAGAACACCGTCAGGAACTTCTTCAATCTTAATGAGTCACAAAACCAGTTTTACAGACAGCACTTACTAGTCTCCTCTGGAAGCGTGTCCCCAGAATCACAGACTAGGAAATGCTGAGCTCAAAAAGAGAATGAAAAGCCAGTGAAGTTTCCATGGGAATTGAGGGCCCAGGACTTAGTCAACACTATGGCGGAGTCATTCTAGGTACCATAACCTGGTGGACACATGCAATCATCTCATTTGCACAGAGGGGAAACAGAAAAAAAACTGAAGGGTGGCTTATTTTGCTATTGGAGTTAAGAACTGACCAGAAGGGTCTATGAAAAAGTCCACTAAGAGAGAATTGGCGTTATTTAAATAAAAGGACAACCACAAATTAGTTCAAAACGTGCGTGACTCCAAAGCTGTCTTTTGTAACCTCATACCATCTCAAGGACCCCGGTAGTGTCGTGGTTACGTGTTGGGCTGCTAACCGTAAGGTCTGCAGTTGGAATCTACCAGCCGTTCCGAGGGATAAAGATGAGGGTTTCTGCTCCTGTAAAGACCTGCAGTCTCAGAAACCCTATACAGGGTCGCTATGAGTCGGGACCAACTCCATGGCACATAACCATTTCAAGTTCTACACTTTTCCTCTGCTATTCTTCCACATCCGCCACTTCTAATAAAATACATGACCACTCCGCAACCTCCTAAACGCAAAAAAAGTTGTTTTGTGGGATCTTCTTTTGTTGCCATTGCTTATCTGTGACTCCCTTTGAACTCCTACCAATGGTTGTTTTTTTAAAAGACTGCCAAGAATCCAGGTAAAGCAATAAAAAGTTGGCAAACACAACTTCCCTTAAACTGAGAAATACAATATGTGCATTGTAGGAACAGTAGGCACCAATCATGTGGAATAATTAATAGTTTGGTCTCTGGCAGAGATTACTAAACCTGATTGTACGTTCCCCTTCTGTTAGGGTTTAAGAGAAATGAAGGGAAAGGGAAGCAGCTTCTAACCAAGGAAAACCAACAGATAAGGAAGCAGCGTAGCCTAGCGGTAGCACTCAACACCTCTCACTCATTACGCTGAAAAACCTCCCCTTCTCCCTCCGGGGACTCCTGGTATGGCGCTATAGGATAAGCACTGGGCTGTTAACCAACCATAAGGTCAGCAGTTCAAACCTACCAGCTGCTCCTTAGAAACCCTATTCAGTCAGAACCGACTCCATGGCACTCAACAACGATTCCATGCAGTGGGAAAGTGTACAACTCTGCAGCTCACATTCTATCGCAGCCAAAAGACCATCGAAAGACCACAGTAACCCCCAAAGCTGGCTAGAACACAGAGAGGACTTCCAAGAAGCAAGAGGTGAAATGTCGTGATGAAACTATTTGGTGGTGATGGTCACCCAACATGAGAAAAGGAATTCAGATCATTGAACTGTACGTTTAAACAATGACTGAATTGGCAAACATTCTGATAAGGATATTTTGCTGAGACAAACACTAATAATACTAAAGCTGCTATAAGCAAGCATTTTGACGTCTTGAAGAACAAAGTAATAACTTTACCTTTAAATTATCTAAGGTTAATGGTCAAAACCATGGATACAAATTAGAAGTGTCTGCTGTTGTTTTATCTCTATCCCCCCAAACACACATGTCCCAGTATTACTTACTGAATCAAAGTCTCAGGTAGTAGATCCTGGGCAGGTAGACATGGGGAAGTCAAAAAGTATTACTACTAGGGTTCCAGCTCATCCATGCACAGGTTTATTGCAAATAAACTGTGCTTAAATTAAACATGTCTCTAGGATCAGAGGATGCCTGAAGACAAGGTCTCTCAGTAATGTACACGTCTCACTCTCATTTGGGGGTCTTTAGAGAAAGGTACCATGGGAAAAAAAAGATTTTGAGGTCAGGGCTAATATAAAATTTTTAATGAAACTCAAATGGACATTCCCCAAATCAATGAAGCTTTGCAACAAATCTGTGGGAATGGATGGACCACCGGGTAAGGGATTGGACCCCTGGCACTTGTTAATGTGGGAATGCTGTCCCACACACAATAACAGTTTTTAGATGGATTAAGTGTTTTAAGGAAGGT